GGTCTATTTCTGGGCTACATTTTGTTCCATTGATCTGTGTCTAGTCTTTTGCCAATATTGCATTGTCTTGATTACTGTGGCTTTATAATAAGTCTTAGAATTGGGTAGTGTAAGCTCTCCAACTTTCTGCTTTGTTGTTTTTAATCCCTGGGTAGTCTATTTTGTAGGCATATCGTAATTAGCTAGGTTTCTACTGAAGGATATTTAGAGGGTTGTTTTTTGCTATAATAAATGATGCTGAGATGAACATCTTCACACATACATCTATTTGAACTGTGTGATTCTCTCTCCAGGATAAATGCCTAGGGGGACACCTGGGTTGCTCAGTGGTTGAGCCTCTGCCTTTGGCTCAGAGAGTGATCCTGGAGTCCCAGGATTGAGTCCCACGTTGGGCTCCCTGCATGGAGCCTGCTTCTCCCTTTGCCTGTGTCTCTGCCTCTCTTTGTGTGTCTCTCATGAATAAATAAAATCTTTAAAAAAAAAAAAAAAGAAAGAAAAGAAATCTCCCTGCCTTTAAAAAAAAAAAAAAAAGGTTAAATTCCTAGGGTGGAAACACTGGATAAAAAAGATGCACATAGCACCTTTTTTTCTCCCTTCTTCCAATTTTCTAAGATTATTAGAGGTTATACTTATTTTATATTGTTTTTCTTACTGAGGTGAAATTCACATAACATCAGCCACTTTATTTTATTTTTATAAAGATTCATTTATTTATTTGAGAGAGAGCGAGGGAGAGGGAGAAGCAGACTCCAAGCTGAGCAGGGAGCCTGATGAGGGGCTCAATTCCAGGACACTAGGATCATGACCTGAGTTGAAGGCAGATGCTTAACTGAGTGAGCCCCCAGGTGCTCCAGCATCAGCCATTTTAAGGTGACGGATTCAGGAGTATCTGGTTGGCTCGATCAGTAGTGCATGCTACTGCTGATTTCAAGGTTATTAGTTTGAGCCGCATGTTGGGTGTAGAGATTACTTAAAAATAAGATCTTTAAAGTGGAACAATCCAGGAGCACCTGAATGGCTCAGTTTGTTAAGTGTCTGCCTTCAGCTCAGGTCATGATCCCGGGGTCGTGTGGAGCCCTGCATTGGGGCCCTGCTCAGGGGGTAGCCTGCTTCCCCTCCACCCACCCACCCTGCGGCACCCCCTGCTTATACTCTGTCTTGCTCTCAAATGAATAAATAAAATCTTAAAAAAAAAAAGTGAAGTGATTCAGTGGCATTTAGTATGTTCATGGTGTTACAACCACTACCTCTTTCTAGTTCCAAAATATTTCCACTACCCCAAAAGAAAACCCTATCCCCATTAAACATTTATTCTGGGGATCCCTGGGTGGCGCAGCGGTTTGGCGCCTGCCTTTGGCCCAGGGCGCGATCCTGGAGACCCGGGATCGAATCCCACATCGGGCTCCCGGTGCATGGAGCCTGCTTCTCCCTCTGCCTGTGTCTCTGCCTCTCTCTCTCTCTCTCTCTCTCTCTCTCTCTCTCTCTCTCTCTGTGACTATCATAAATAAATTTTAAAAAAAAATTATTCTGCATTTCTCTAAGCATTTACTCCCTCATTCCCCTCATTCCCTCCACTCTCCCCCCCCCCATCCCAAGCCCCTGGCAACCACTAGTTTGCTTTCTGTCTCTAGGGATTGTACCTATTCTGGATATTTCATATAAATGGAATCATATAATTTGTGACCTTTGTGTCTGGCTTCTCTCACATTTATTGTAGGCATGTATTGGTACTTTATTTCTTTTTATGGTTGAATAATTTTCCATTGTATGTATAGATCACAATTTGTCCCATCTGTTGATGGGCATTAGAACCTTAGGCTGTTATAAATAGTGTTGCTCTGAACATATACATGTACATCTACTTGTTTATCTGTTTTCATTTATTTTGGGCATATGTAGGAGTAGAATTGTTGGGTCATATGATAATTCTGTGTCTAACTTTTTAGGGAATTGCCAAACTGTTTTTACACAATGGCTATACTATTTTACTTTCTTTCTTTTTAAAAGATTTTATTTATTTATTCATGAGAGACACAGAGAGAGGGGCAGAGACACAAGCAGAGGGAGAAGCAGGCTCCCTGTGGGGAGCCTAATGTGGGACTCTATCCTAGGACCTCAGAATCACGACATTCAACTACTGAGCCACCCAGGTGCCCCCTATTTTACATTCTTACCAGTGATGTATAAGGGTACCAATTTCTTTATCTCTTCTCCAATGTTTATTATTTTCCTTTTTTTTTTGTTTTCTTAATATAGCCATCCTAGTGGGTGTAAAAATGGTATGGTTTTATAGTTTTGATTTACATTTTCCTAGTGGACATTTGTATATCTTTGGAGAAATACCTATTTAAGTCCTGTGCTCTTTTTTATTTTTTTAAAGATTTTATTTATTTGAGGAAGAGTGCAAGAGAGCACACAAACAGGGGGAGGGGCAAAAGAGACAAGTAGACTCCCCACTGAGCAGGGAGCCCCACAAGGGCTCTATCCCAGGACCAGAGCCAAAGTCAGATGCTTAACCAACTGAGCTACCCAAGGTGCCCCTGCACATTACATTTTGATATGTATTGCCAGACTGCTTTCAAGAAAGTTTGTACCAGTGGTAAGTCTGTTTTCCTTCACTCTTGCAATTCTATTAACCTATTAACCTATTTCATTGTTGTCAGTTTGGTAAATGAGAAGTGGATTTCATCTTAATTTCATTTCTTAGGTTGTCTTTTCAAGGGTGCATTAGCTATTTGTGTTTTTCTTTTTTGAATGTCCTGTGTTGTGTCTACTTCTATATAATCCTTTTCTTTCTTTTTTTTTTTTTTTTAAGATTTTATTTATTTATTCATGAGAGAGGCAGACACCTAGCCAGGGAGAGAAGCAGGCTCCATGCAGGGAGCCCGATATGGGACTTGATCCTGGGACTCCAGGATTATGCCCTGGGCCGAAGGCAGGCACGAAACCGCTGAGCCACCCAGGTGTCCCCTATATACTCCTTTTCATTTTGTGTTTATTGATTTCTAAGAGGTTTTATGTAAGTTTTTTTTTTTTTTTTTTTATGATAGTCACAGAGAGAGAGAGAGAGAGAGAGAGAGAGGCAGAGACACAGGTAGAGGGAGAAGCAGGCTCCATGCACCGGGAGCCCGATGTGGGATTCGATCCCGGGTCTCCAGGATCGCGCCCTGGGTCAAAGGCAGGCGCTAAACCGCTGCGCCACCCAAAGATCCCTGTATTGTAAGTTTTAATCCTTGGTGCAGTCTCATGTGTTGGAAGTATTTTTTAAGTTGGTCATCTGTCTTTTGATTTATATGACTTTTTTTGTCACATAAATGTTTTATTTTTTTTTAAAGATTTTTATTTATTTATTCATGATAGAAACACAGAAAGAGGCAGAGTCACAGAATGAGGGAGAAACAGGCTCCCTACAGGGAGCGAGATGGACTAGATTCCCTGACCGGGATCACACTCTGAGAGGGATCACACTCTGAGTCAGACGCTAAACCACCAAGCCATCCAGGTGTCCCAATATAAATGTTTTAAATTTGTATATTCTTATATACGTTTTAGGAGTATAAAAATTTAATATTCTTTTAGAGAATGCTATAGGGGTGTCTGGCTGGCTCAGTTGGTAAAGCCTGTGACTCTTGATCTTGGGTTGTGACTTTGAGCCTCACGTTTGGGTGTAGAACTTGCTTTAAAAGATGAGAATGTAAAAAAAAAATGATGAGAATGATATAATAGATTTATAATTTATTGAACTATTGGAACTTACAGATGTGTGTAAAAAATGTTGTTGATGCTCTAGCATAAATGAAGGTATACCCAAGGCTTCTTTGCCTTTGCTGTGTCTGTTACTCTTCCCTTGCAGTCCCCTATACATATGTAACTGCAGCTGAAGTATGGGATTCTCCATGGTCCAGGCTGGTAGCTACCCAGCTACCCAATCAGCAACTTTACTCTCCTTTTCTGGGGTTTACATCTTGCTAGTGCCTCACACAATACTTACAACATTGGTTCTCACTCTCAAGTGCACATTCCAGTCACCTGGAGAGCATGAAAAGAACAGATTTATAGTATTCGGTGTCTATTGATTAGAATTAGATGATTTGCCTAACTTTTCAGGTGCTGATATTCTTCCTAATTTACAGTCTTATTCCGAGGTCTTCATTTAGCCTCTTTAGCCTGGTAGACAGTTTTATTTACTGGGAAAACTGGGTTTTAGTCCTAGCTTTGCCACTAACTCACTGTATCTATAACCTGGGACAAGGTACTGTCCTCTCTGGGCTTTAGTTTCCTCTTTGGCTATATTAGGGAGGGGAACTGATTAGATTAGATCAGGGATGGGCAGCTTTTTTCTATTAAGGTCCAGATAGTAAATATTTAGGCTCTGTGGGTCATATAGTGTCTGTCTGTCACAGTGTCTAAAGCTCCTTTTAGTTCTGGCATTTTGTGGTTCTCTTTTTTCAAACCCTAGCAAGGGGTCTCACCTAGAAGAACCAATGAAAGTCTTGTTTAACTACCACCAGTTAAATATAGGTAATACCAAACCTTATATAGTGCTTACAGTTTGCCTGCTACTCTTCTAAATATTTCACCTATATTAACTCTAATCTTCAGAATAACCCAGTGAGAAGTGTAGGTGCTATTATCATCCTCATTTTATAGATTAGAAAACGAGACACAACGAAAAATTAAATACTTAATTAACTGCAAAATGAAGTTGGATAGTAGAGCCAGAATTTGAACCCAGGCATAGCTCCATTATACTTTATTGCCTCTCCCTAACTTAGACATAGACCTCCAAATAATATATACTCTATCATAAGGATCTTAAGTAAAATATTATTGAAGCCCTCGAAAGTGGGCCAATATTGAGGCTATAAAAGTGGCCATGAGAGGAACTTTATTAATAATTTTATTTTCTTAAAAGAGCCCTTTTGTTTCTGTCCCAGCATTATAGTCACATGGCATTGTCTTTTTAGTTATTTTTAGTATTCCTATCATTTACTTTTCAGAACCATGAGGGGGTTCACTGAATGGAAGCAGTCTTCTCCTCGGTTTCTGGAATTTAATTTCACCTTAATAAGAGTTTATTACTTCAAGCAAGCAAACAGACCAGAGTCAAATGGGGATAAAAATTCTACTGGTAAGAGACAGCAGAAACAGCTTGTGCTATAAGCAGAGTATCCAGGCTTTAGTTGTATCTCTACTGCCAGTCAGTTATATGTCTAGGGAAGCTTTCTGAGCCTCCATATTCTCAAGTATAAAATTTTAGGTGATTGGACTAGGTGGATGATCTCTGAATTTCCTTAAATCCATGCTTCACCAGAGTTTACAGGTGGACCTCCAAGCAGCCACTGCAGAGGCTCTCCATTGCAGAGTTTCTCAGGCTTTAACTTAAAAGTTATGTGCCATTTTTTTTAAGATTTTATTCATTTAGGGATCCCTGGGTGCCGCAGCGGTTTGGCGCCTGCCTTTGGCCCAGGGCGTGATCCTGGAGACCCAGGATCGAGTCTCACATCGGGCTCCCGGTGCATGGAGCCTGCTTCTCCCTCTGCCTATGTCTCTGCGCCTCTCTCTCTCTCTCTCTCTCTCTCTCTCTCTCTATCATAAATAAATAAAAAAATTTAAAAAATTAAAAAAAAAGATTTTATTCATTTATTAATAAGAGACACAGAGAGGGAGAGAGAAAGAGAGAGGCAGAGACACAGGCGGAGGCAGAAGCAAGCTCCATGAAGGGAGCCTGACGTGGGCCTCGATCCCGGGTCTCCAGGATCAGGCCCTGGGATGAAGGCAGTGCTAAACCGCTGAGCCACCCCGGCTGCCCCATTATGTGCCAATTTTGCATTCTCTACCCTGTCTGTATGTATTTATTTAGATGTAAAAATGTTTCAAATTCTTTTTACCATTTAGTTAGATTGATGCTCTCCAGGAATGCATACTTACTATGTATGCGCCTCTTAGTTTGAGAAGCATGGCTTTAAAAAAAAAAAAAGAGAAGCATGGCTTTATATTAAGATTCTGTCCCTTCCCCCCCCCCGCCCTTTTTTTTAAGATTTTATTTTTAAGTAAGCTCTACACCCTACATGGGACTCGAACTTACAACCTTGGGATCAAGAGTCCCATACTGCATTGACTAAGCCAGCCAGGTGTTCCCCCCACCCACCTTTTTTTCTTATATACAGATAGCCATTGGAAGAAGAAAAGTCATGATCTGCACTGCAAATTCCAAAGCACTCCTCTCACCAGACTGACTGAAGGCTTCTCCCACTTTCTGAGCATCTTTGTCTGTCTGATTTAGTCAGCATATCTGCAGTTGAACTTCTGCCAAACAAAGCTAAAAGGAGTAGTTGCCTGATATAATGTTCCTGTAGCTTGCTCATTCTTTCTTAATAAAGTGTAAAATTTTTTAAAAGTCATCTTTTTATTAAGAAAGAAAAAAGTTAGGCAAGAGGTTGACCTTTTCCCTACTCTTTCATTTCTCTTCAGTTGAATAATCAAATTCAAGCTCCTTTAATCAGAAAGGAAAATCAACTTTCTGGTGTGTGCCAACATCCTTTAAAAATTTTTTTTCCTTTAAGCTTCCATGCCAAAAGTCTTTTTTTCTGAAGTTTGGACTGTTAGAATTAAAGAGGATGTAGGGAATGAGGAACTTGAGGTTCCAGGAAAGAAAGCTCAGTTCCCCAAAGTCACAGAGCTGATGTGTATAGAACAGAGATTAGCAACATGGTGGGAAGAGAACAATACGAAGTCAGAAGATGTGGATTCAAAGTTTGCCTCTGCCGCTAACTTGCTGTGTGACTTTGATCAGGTTACCTAACATGTCTAAGTTTTCATTCCCTCATTGTTAAAGTGGAAGCCAACATAACTTCATAGGGTGTGAAATTTCTTAAGATTTTATTTATTCATGAGAGAGAGAGAGAGAGAGAGAGAGAGAGGCAGAGACACAGGCAGAGGGAGAAGCAGCCTCCATGCAGGGAGCCTGCTGAGCTTCCCGGGTGTGGACATAAATTGGAGGACTTATACTGTAAGGATAGAAAGATCAGTGAGGAACTCGATGGAATGAGCAGTCTGGTTGGGAAGTCATAAAGCCTTCAATTGGTGTGATGATAGTGAGCGTTTTAGGAACTAGTTTGGATAAAAGTGGAGAGATTGGAAATGTGGGGAGAGAGATGGATACAGAGGTACTAGGATCACTTCGAGGGTTTTGGTTTGATTATCTCATGGTTCACTCAAGTATGGCTGGGACAATAAGGAGTTCAGTTTTGGATATACCAGGTTACAGGTGTCTGGGGTGATGTTGCTGCTGCTGCTAAGGATGATAGCTAACATTTATTGACTGCTTCCAAAAAGCAGGTCCTAGTCCATATGCTTTGCATGTATTAATTATTTAATTCTCACCGTAACCTTTTGAGGTAAGCTTTAAGATTATCCTCACTTTATAAGTAAGAAATCTGAGGCACAGAGAGGTTAAATAACTTGTCCAAGGTTACATAGCCAGTAATAGTGGAGCCAGGACTTAAATCCAGGCAACCTGGCTCCAGAGTCCTTACTGTTAACAACTTCACTATATTATATGCCTCTCATTGATGATGAAAATGTCCACTAGGCAGTTAAATATACAGGTCTGGCATCAAGAGAGAACTAGATTGCAGATATGGATTTTAGGAGTTAGCACAAAAATGGTTATAGAAGCCATGAGTGTCATACAGTTCATAGTATAGGAATGACAGGTAGATGCCCTAAAGACACCCATTTCTCAGTATTGTTACCATGACAGATATTGCTAACAGATCAGGGGTTGGCTTCAGTAAGGAAACTGAGGAAGGGCCAGTGAGATTGGAAGAAAAGTGGGAGAGATTGCTGCCATTGAAACTCCAAAGGAGAATGGATTATGGAGAGAGACTAGTAGTATCAGATTGTTGCTTTTTCCATCATGTGTTTTGAAAGTTTAGTAGAAAAGTGTTAATTTGGCAGCCAGGGTTCATTAGTGATCTCAGAGCATGGTATCCATGGAGCAGTACAGGGGCAGCCAGCAGAGAAGGTACGGTGATTGTACTGATTCATAATCCATGATTGTGGTTTTCAAAGCATATGCAATCCATAGAGGCAAGAAAGTGATTGAGGGACTTCAGGATCTAATTTGGATTAGGAAGGAAATGAAGTCCAAAGAAAGAAGGAAAGAAAAACAAACAAGGGGGGAGGGGCAGCTTTTCCTCATGCTTATAGACAGCACTGTTGGGGAATCAATCTGCACTCAGAGCTCCATGATCTGCCTAGTGCTCAGGATCTTGCTGATGAACATACTCAGTAGGACTACCCTACAGAATGACAGCCTAAAGGGATGGAGACTTAAATGAGTAGGATCTTTAGCAGTACACTTAAAGATTTTGGGGAGTTTCTCCAAGGTAAAATTTCTTTGGATCAGGGTTTATCCTCAGGACTATTGACATTTTTGAGCTGGATAATTTTTTGTTGTGTGTGTGTATGGGGGGAGGGGGGAGTTGTCCTTGCATTGTAGTATGTTTAGCAGCATCCCTGACCTACCCACTAGATAACAGCAGCACGTCCACTCCCGCAGTTGTGACAGCCAAAAATATTTCTAGACATTGCCAAATGTCCCCTAGGGGACAATTTACTTTCAGTTGATAACACACCTCTCGATTCTGCTGGTTTTCCTCTAGGTCTCTGCTGTAAATTTCACTCACCTTCATTAGCGCCTCTGGGCACTTTAGCTTTGTTGGTTTGGAGAGTTTGGGTTATTTTAGTTCTGTGGCCTTTTCCCAAGACATTTTCAATCTGGAAATAAACTCTGAATAGAAATGAGACAGAAGCATATTTCCTTCTAGTACATATAAATACCTAGAACATTCATTAAATGGTTAGTGCTTATGAGATTTATAGAAGATGGTTACAGTCAAACTTTAATGTCTCAGAAACTTTTATACTGTTTATCTCTTTATAGTATAGTTATTTGTATCTGTATCTCTTGCTAGCCTGGACTCCTTGAGGACAGGGACCCTTTTTAAATCTTTGCATGCCCTAACATCTTGGCAGAATACCTGGCACATAGTAGACTCTCAATAAATGTTTGCTAAGATAAGTCAATTATGTTGATAATTGGCTAAGTAGGTTAAACTTGTAATTTTTCAGAGTATTTCAGTTATCAGACCTCACAAAGAGACCAGAACTCCCTTAGTATTGACAAAATCTGAATTGTACAGAGAGAAGCATTTTATCCAGTCATTTCTATGTACACAGATCATAGGTGTCCTCTGGGAGAATAGGAAATGGAACAGTGACATGCTGCCTTTGGAAGGTAACAGATCCTTTAAGCTCTTCCTAGCACCCAGGGCTGTCTATTCTATAGGTAGAGTCTCAGTGCAACTATAATTGAAGCTGGAAAATAGGTGAAATATAAGGCAATCAGCTACAAACCTAACTTACTCTGGTAGGATGATGTTTTCTGGGCAGGTAATAAAATAAGCACAGTTGTGGGATTTATAGTATAAATATCTGTATGGGCCAAATGTGACATTTACAAAATTGATTGGTTTCTAAATTTGATTAGATATTTATTCTTAGTGCAAATGTGTAAAATGTGTTGTGTTTTTGCTTTTTTGGCTGGGTGGTATGATTTTAGTTGGTAAATAATGTATGTCTTAAAATGCATAATTCTTGGGGCTTCTTGCTGGTTCAGTTGGTGGAGGGTACAACTCTCGATCTTGGAAATATAGGTTCAAACCCCATGTTGGGTGTAGAGATTACTTAAAAATAAAATCTTTAAAAATGCATAATTCATAACTGTACAATTCAGTGAGTTATCAAAAAAGTGAAAATCCCTGTGTAACCAAAACTCAGTTCAAGAAATAGAACATTACCAGTCTTCTCAATAATTTTAAAAGTTATGGTATGATCTAGCAATTCCACTTCTAGGTACATATTTAAAAGAATTGAAAATTTCAAATTTTTGAAAATGTCACTTCATTGCTAATATTCACTGGTTTGTCATTCTACCAAAAAATCTGTCATCCAAGTTTTTTGTTATTGTAAAATATACATGACATAAAATTTACTATTTTGCCATATGTTAAGCATATTCACATTGTTCTGCAAACTTCATCACCCTCCATCTTCAGAACTTTTTCAGCCCAAACTGAAATTCTGTACCCATTTTATTTTATTATTATTTATTATTACTATTGTTATTTTTAAAAGATTTTATTCATTTATTTGACAGAGCACAAGCAGGAGGGACAGCAGACAAAGGGAGAGGGCTCAGATTGTGACCTAATCAGGTGCCTGCATCCACAATTTTAAAAGAAACTTTTTGTTAGGGAAATTTTCCAACATATAAAAAAGTAGAGTGAATACCAGTTGAACTGCTCTGTGTCTCACCTCCCTTCAGCAGTTAAGAATACTTGGCCAATCTTGTTTCAGTTATTAGTCTGCCCCTCCTACCCTGTTACTGGAAGCCAGATCTCAGTCATGATATACTTTTTTTTTTCCTGTTGTTAAAAGCAGCAAATAAACTTAAAATTTTTTTAAAAAATTTATTTATTTATTTATTTATTTATTTATTTATTTATTTATTTATTTGAGAGCGAGAGAGAGTATGTGCAAGCAGGGGAGGGGCAAAGGAAGAGGGAAGGATAGAATCCTCAAGCAGAGGGGCACCGGGGTGGCTCAGTTGGCTAAGTGTCTGCCTTTAGCTCAGGTCATCATCCCAGGGTCCTTGGATCGAGCCACATTGGGTTCCCTGTTCAGTGGTGAGCCTGCTTCTCCCTCTGTCCCTCCCCCTGCTCCTGCTTTCTCTCAAATAATAAGTAAAATCTTTTTAAAAATGTAAAAAATAAAATTAAAAAAAATCCTCAAGCAGAATCCCGACAGAGTCCAGAGCCCAAGGCAGGGCTGGATCCCAGGACCCTGAGATCATGACCTGAGCCAGAATTCAGAGTGTCACTCAATCAGCTGAACCAGCCAGGTGCCCCAGTGATCATAATTCTCATGTCATTATTAACAACTATCTTTTCAGCATCATTCTTTCTCTCATGCAATGCAGATATAGATGGACTTTACATATGCCCTTCATCTGCCCTTGCCTTCTTGCTCGTTAAAAATTTATTCATGGGTAAAATGAAAAAATACACAGTAGCTGTGGTCACAAGTTGCACAGTTATTTGTAAGCTCAACTGTAACTGTTGAAAGAAGTCATATTAGAATGGAAGACTGAAGCAACGTCGTTATAGATGTAACTTTGGATCAGCTCTAATTTCTTTTTTTTAAAAAAGGTATACTTTCATTCATATGTACCTCAATATGTTGTATACCTCAAAGTTAAGGACTCCTTTTTTTAAAAAAACATAACCATAAAACTGATACCTAAAAATAATCCTTTTATCATCAGATATCCAGTTAGTATCACCTATGTCTTTATGCCCAGTTTCTTTTAATCTAGTGGTACAGGAAATGAAAAGTTGACAAATCACTCAAAGATGACAATTTACACTGGTAACCAAGATGTACTTTTGTGTGATTTACAGTTTTTAGTGTGTTAACTCTATAAGCAAGACATCTACTTTCCATAAATCACTAATACTCTTTTCTTTCTGATATTTGTTGACATTTATATATACCATAAACAGTACAACAGACCATTTCCTTTAATAAATAAGATGAGCCTCGTTCTGGGGTTGCCTTTAGTATTTGTTGATGTTTTTGTTGAAACAAAAAATAAAAATAAAAAATAAATAAAATAAACTTACCATTTTAAGGAGTTCTAGAACAGGGACGCCTGGGTGGCTCAGCAGTTGAACGCCTGCCTTTGGACCAGGTCGTGACCCTGGAGTCCCAGGATCGAGTCCCACATCGGGCTCCCTGCATGGAGTCTGCTTCTACCTCTGCCTGTGTCTCTGCCTCTCTCTCTTTGTGTCTCATGAATAAATAAATAAAATCTTTAAATAAATAAATAAATAAATAATAAGTAAATAAGTAAATAATAAGTAAATAAATAAGTAAATAAGTAAATAAATAAATAAAAGCTTAAAATTTTTTTAAAAAAGGAGTTCTAGAACATACACATAAAGGCAGGACTCAGGATGAAAATTTATATATGTTTACATTTTGGCTTTTTTGGAGGTGGGGGTGATAATTGTGCATTTACAACTATGCCTTTCCTTAACATTAATCTCAGTGTTAAAAAATCCATTTACAAGGTTCAGAAAGTCTCTACTGACAAAATCAGATTGTTGTTTAAGTTCTTTAACTAACATTGATTAGGTCATTTGGAATTCAACAAAGCCAACTAAAGTTTGTGGGGAAGAGGGAGAAGAACACAGAACACAGAATTATTAACTCCTATCCCTCCTATAGTTTTCTTAATTCATGGAGAAGACTGCTGTGTATAGTATATGCTGTGGCACCTTCTGATGTCAGAAGGACATCTTGTTCAAGATACACAGAAAAGCACACCCGATGATTTAAGATTCCATCAGTATCCAGGTGTAAGAATGGATGTCTGTTGTGAGTTAAAGGCAGAGCTGGTTCTTTCCTATGGCTCTTTAGATTTCTTCTGTGGGGGGGGGGGCAGGGGGTACTAATTAACATTTTTTTTGTTCCTTGAAGATAGCGTATATCCTTGTTGGGTAAACAACCTCAGTAGTTAAGAGCACAGAAGCTTCAGAGTGCTAGTGACACTAAACTTACTTCCCATTTCTCTTGCATTGTGATAGTAGTAGTAGTGGTTGTAATATAGGTAGTAATTTAATGACCCTATATATCATATGCAAAGTGTTAGGGAAAAACCAAGTGCTTTTACGTGTATTAACTCACTTAATCCACACAACAACCCCATGAGATAGATACTGTTATCCTCATTTTACTGTTGAGGGATTGAGGCAGAGAGAGGTTAGTAACTGACTACTCCACAAGTACAAATAACTGGTAAGTGGCAGAGCTAGGAATTGATCTGAGGCAGCCTGGCGCCAGCGTCCTTCCTCCTAAACCATTATACTGTACTGTACTTAATCGACACCCATGTAAGTAAAGGGAAATGTGAGATAAAAAATGCTTTTAACATCTTTGTGGGCTCTATGGAACTTATTATTTGTTCATTCAATGCTCCCTGTAGAATCAGTGATTACAGAGAGAACATTTAATCTCAAAGCATTCATCCCTATTTTCCAACTAGTATTTTCAGATCTGTTCTCCATCTGAGACCTTGCATTTGGAAAAAGTACATTTGAACTTTTTAGTTGAATTGGCAGATCAAGAGCTTACAGACAGGATATTGCCTTTGAGTATTTAGACTGTATGTGCTGACCCCCTGAAGCAGTAATTTGGTTAGATCACAATGTTTCCATTAGAGTCCAGCAGTATTAGGGGTTCTGACTTCAAAGTGTGTCTGTGTGTGTTTTATATGTATCTTTGTAAATAGGCCACTTCTCTACAAATGGAGCCAAGATTCTAAAAATCTTTCAGAGCCATTTAAATCCAAGAAATATCTAAGCATTTGAAGTAGAACTATGAGCAATGCAAATGTTACCTTTCTGGAGACTTGTGATAAGTAAAATAAATAAAACAACCTGCCCATTTTTAAATGCTTACAGAACCTAAAGAACGTCCAGTTAATCCTGCAGAATTAGTTCTTACTTGACCATTGATTTACATACACTTTTTATCTTTAAGTCTAAGCTAATAGCCACTGTTTGTTAAGAAAGCCAGTGTTCTGTTTTCTTTTGCTTCCTTTATCTTGGGTGTTTGTAGGTCTGCTATTCTCTCAACACATGTGCTTAGAAACACATCTATTCTGGTGCTTTGGGTCAGTCCCGTGTTTGGCTAGAGGGAGGAACAGATCACCATTGCTACTTATGAAGTTTGCGTTTTATGGAGGCAGGTGACTTTCTCATGCTAATTTTCTTTCCCCTCCCTAGGTTTATGAAGGCCTAGACATCATTACGAACAAGGTTTCTGCCCAAGAGCAGAGAATGTGCCAACACCACATGATCAGCTTTGTGGATCCTCTCGTGACAAATTACACAGTTGTGGACTTCAGGAACAAAGCAACTACTCTAATATCCTTATGAAAGAGCAACTAGATTTGGTGGGTACAAGGCAGCCCAAGCCAAGAGAGAAGTTTTCTTTTCAGTGAGTTTCTTAAAACCAGGGGCACCCAAGACGTAACAACCAATAGATAGCACCCCCATCAGAACTATATGGATCAAAAATAGAATGCTCTTGCTTCTCAGAGTCATCAGACTAGAGCATCAGCCATCCCTTGGATGCTTATTAGAAATGCTGAATTTGGGCCTCACTCCAGAACTACTGAATCAGAATCTACATTTCACAAGAGTCCCAGGTGATTCATATACATATTACAATTTCAGAAGCAGTTTTAGTGAAGACAGCACTGATTCAGGAATTAGAAAATCTGTTCTCTAGTTCCAGAACCTTTGGACCAAGTGAATTTTATTGAGTAGAGCATTTACCCCACTCAGTTCCAGTTTCTCATCCTTTAAATGGGGATGCAAAATCAATTTATAGATATAATGGAGTTACTTACTTTTAGAATTGAATAGGGATTGTTGGGTGAGGACTGCAAAACAATAAAAAAAATTTTTTTCCTATGATCAGTGATCTTTGATTGATTAATTAGGCTCTATACCCAGCATGGAGCCCAACATGAGACTTGAACTCACAACCCTGTATTCAAGACCTGAGCTGAGATCAAGAGTCGGATGCTTAACCAGCTGAGCCACCCAAGGTGCCCCTTGTTTATTTTAAAATTAATTCCAGTACAGTTAACATATAGTGTTACATAGTTTCAACACCAATAAATTTTGAAAAAAGAATACTATAAGGGAGACTGTCCTTATATTTTAATTGTCCAGACTTCCAGGTGGGGTGCCTGGCTGGCTGTGTTGGTAGAGCATGCAACTCTTTTTTTTTTTTTTTTTTTTTTTTGAGCATGCAACTCTTAATTTCCAGGTTGTGATTTCAAGCCCCACGTTGGGTTAGAGATTACTTAAAAAAAAAAAAAAATATTGGACTGCCAGATATTAAAATATAAGGAAAATTCATAATAGTTATAATAACGTGGAACTAATACTAGACAAATATATGACACAGAATAGAAAACTCAGGTACAAATTCAAATGGATATATATATTTACCTAATGATCAAGGTGGCATTTGAGGAACGCCTGGGTGGCTCAGCGGTTGAGCATCTGCCTTTGGCTCAGGGCGTGATCCTGGAGTCCTGGGATCGAATCTCACATTGGGCTTCCTGCTTGGAGCCTGCTTCTTCCTCTGCCTGTGTCTCTGCCTCTCTCTCTCTATGTGTGTCTCATGAATAAATAAATAAAATATTTTTTAAAAAGATGGCATTTGAAACAGTAGAGAAATAATATAGTAGTTAATAATTATTCCTGGAATAGCTAATTTTTTGGGAAAAAATAAAATCACAATCTCATATATGACATTGCAGATGGGTCTCAGAGTTAAATACATGTATTTTTAATGAAACTTTGAAACAGATGGGATAATATAGAATTGAGTAGTTATATGATTTTATTTTATTTATTTTTTAAATTTTTATTTATTTATGATATTTATTTATGATAGTCACAGAGAGAGAGAGGGGCAGAGACATAGGCAGAGGGAGAAGCAGGCTCCATGCACCGGGAGCCCAACGTGGGACTCGATCCCGGGTCTCCAGGATCGCGCCCTGGGCCAAAGGCAGGCACCAAACTGCTGCGCCACCCAGAGATCCCAGTTATATGATTTTAGAGTAGGGAAAAGTTTTTTTTTTTTGGGGGGGGGGGGGAGTGTTTTTAAATGGATTTTTAAACTCAGTTTTTCTTTATTTTACTATGTTAAAATACAGAATTTACCACTTAACTATTTTATTTTATATTATTTTATTTTTTCAAGATTTTCTTTTTTTTTTAAGATTTATTTATTTATTTATTCATGATAGAGAGAGAGAGAGAGGCAGAGACACAGGCAGAGGGAGAAGCAGGCTCTCCGCCGGGAGCCTGACGTGGGACTCGATCCTGGGACTCCAGGATCATGCCCTGGGCCAAAGGCAGGCGCTAAACCGCTGAACCACCCAGGGATCCCCTATTTTTTCAAGATTTTATTTATTTATTCATGAGAGACAGAGAGCGAGAGAGAGAGGCAGAGACACAGGCAGAGGGAGAAGCAGGCTCTCTGCCTGGAGTCCGACGTGGGACTCGATCCTGGGTCTCCAGGATCAGGCCCTGGGCCGAAGGCAGCGCTAAACCACCTAGCCACCCAGGCTGCCCACCACTTAACCATTTTAAAGTGTACATTTCAGTTGTGTTGAATACATTCACATTGTAGTGCAACCATCACCACCATCCATCCATATAACCTTTTTTTTTTTTTTAAGATTTATTTATTAGAGAAAGCACAAGTGGGAGGGGCAAAGGGAGAGATAGCAAGAATCTCAAGCAGACTCCCTGCCTGATGTGGGGCTCCATCCTAGGACCCTGAGATCATGACCTGAGTCAAAACCAAGTGTCAGGTGCTCAACCAACTATACCACCTAGGTACCACCTTCTCCTTTTTTAAAGGAAAGTAGCTAGCTTTGAGTATGTACGAATTAAGAATTTGTGTTGGCAAGAATGTGTGTCCACCCTAGAGTAACCTTGCCACGAATATAACTGGAGATAGATGGTAGATCTCATTCATAGCAGCATTGCTCTTAATGGCAAAAACAAACACCTAGATTCTTACTTACAGAAGAATGTATAAAATTTGCTTTGTTCATATAAGTGCTTTTTCAGCAGTGAAAGTGAATACATTGTAGCTGCGTGCAGCAATTAATGTGGGAGAATTTCAGAAACATTATAAAATATGAGAAATTGTAGAAGGATGCATGTGCATTCATACCATTTATTATAAAAGTTAAAAAGCAAGCAAAACTAACCTATGTATTTTTTAGGGGGTTATATATACATAAGGAATAACATAAAGAAAAGCAAGGGAATGATAACAAGAAAACCAAACAATTCAGAATAGCAAATCTCAGGTTTCCCTGCAGAGAGGGGAAGTGTAGGGGGTTGGAATGGGAATGAATACACAAGAAGCTTCAAAAGAATTAATAATATTCCTTTTCTTACCTTGAGTTCATGAGTGTTTATTATTAGGCTTCATAATGTATGGATGTTCTTTTGTGTATATTAAATATTTTATAATTTTTTAAAAATTAACCCGCTATAAACAAAATTAAAAAACAGACTATAAGCCAGAGGAAAAATACTTGTAACCTAGGAAAAGTGAATAGTTCATATCCTTAATATATGAAGAACTCGTATGAATCAATATGAAAAATTCTTAAAGGGCTTGAGTAATAATAATTCACAAAGGAAGAAATATAAATGATGGTAAATGGAGAAAAGGGTTTTTATCCTTGCTGTTAAGGCCATGCAGATCAAAATAGTGAGATCATATTTTTTTGCCTATTAGATAGGTAGATATTAAAATGTAGATAATTCTTGCCCTACCTGCTATACGAGACAGTTGTATCAGATGAAATAATATATATGAATGCCCTTGGCAAATTAAAACATAACACTGAATGTATGTTGTTGCTTTAAGACAGTTTGGTTATTCAGAAAGAACTTAGAGAAAGTGGAGTTTTCAGAGGGCAGCAGGGGATGACTTAATCATCACTTACAGGATCGGATATTTTTGAGTTTAGGTAAGAATCTAAAATCAGAATGTCAAAACTGAAAGTACCTTAAGAAATATCCAGTTAACCTTGTTTTGACAGGCTAGGTAAGGTATTAGATACTGAGGCCCAGAGAGAAGGATTTTGTCCAGTTGTTTCATGGCTTGGGCAAACAAGTTAAACCTTTTCCCACCAAATGTCTCCTATCCCATTTTCCTTCTCTCTTTTCCACTCTCTCTCTTTGGCATCTCACCATTTCCCCCTTCCCTTTTTACTTTCTTTGGTCCTTCTCCCTTTGTCACTCATAGTATATACTTGAATGTTTATTATAATTACTGTAATTGTGTATGCTCCTTATACTTAATAGGGGGAATATAGTATTTCCTCTCTCTCTCTCTCTCTTTTATTTTTTTTTTATTTTTTTGAAGATTTTATTTATTCATGAGAGAGAGAGAGAGGCAGAGACACAGGCAGAGGGAGAAGCAGGCTCCATGCAGGGAGCCTGATGTGGTACTCGATCCCAGATCCTGGGATCATGCCCTGAGCCAAAGGCAGACGCTCAACTGCTGAGCCACTTAGGCGTCCCTCTCTCTCTTTTTTAAAGATTTTATTTATTTGAGAGAGACAGAGAGAGAGCACAAGTGTGGGGGAGAGAGAGAAGCAAGCTCCCCAGTGAGCGGGGAGCCTGACAAGGGGCCAATCCCAGGACCCAGGGATCACGACCTGAGCTGAAGGCAAATGCTCAACCAACTGAGCCACCCAGACACCCCAGTATTTCTCTTTTTAAAAAACAAATAGAAAGGGATACCTGGGTGGCTCAGCGGTTGAGTCCAAGTTGAGCCTTTGGTCCAGGGCATGATCCTGGAGTTCCGGGATGGAGTCCCACATTGGGCTCCTTGCATGGAGCCTGCTTCTCCCTGTGCCTATGTCTCTGTCTTCTCTGTCTCTCATGAATAAATAAAAATTTTAAAACAAAACAAAAGGGAAACAATGTTTCTTCTTTAAGATCCTTGATTTGTAACAGCTTTCTTCCCACCCCACCCAGCCTCTCTGGGGTTAGTGGGCTTCTGATAGAAAAGAGGTCATCTATCTCTGGGCGCACAGACAGACTGGCAAGGGGAAGAAAGGTATAAATGAGTCAGTCTTTGTCTAGGTCGAAAGTCTCTTTTTATCAATTATCCTCAGAAGCAAAGCCCTCCATAAAGCAGATAATTATCTGTTCAACAGAGATTCTAAAGAGAAGAATTTAAAGTAGTGGGGATATAAAAACAATAGTGGCTCAAGTAAATTCAGTGCTTACTCAATTGAAAGCAAATATTTCGGGCATCATGGTAGGGGATTTATATGCCTCGTCACATTTAATGCTCCTTAGACTTCAAGAGAATTTTACAGGTGAGAAAACTGAAGCTCAGGCTGAATAACTTGTCAGAGTTGGAGCTGGTAATTGAGATCTATTTGTCTTCAGAACCTGTGCTTCCCAGTTTACTGGTGGAGTCTCAAGTGGGGCTGAAATGTGCAGTATTACCATGTAATGGTGGGGACTGACTGAGTCTAGGAACCGTGGTGTAGGGAAACCAGCTTGTATTTTATTGTAGAAGGCAGTCACAGAATGGATGTCACCGTGGTGGCTTCCTGAGCAGCTGACGCTTGTTTCTCTGAGAGCCCTTGGGCTTGTGCTCATTAAACTGATTTGGAATACCAAGCAAGCTTTGAATTGTAGCAGCGAGGCCTAGAAACTTCTAGAACTGAAAGGAATTACCATCATGCATTTGTATCTGGTTTATGCAAGTCCCTCCAGAACTAATGGGAAATGCTTCTGGGAACTCATGGGAGAGGGTGAAGACTGGTATCAGTTCATCTTGGTTTCCACCCTTTCTTCTCTGTTCTCCAGACGAATAAATGAGTGTGGTTTCTTGCTAATATCCTCCTTCCCAAGTGAGTCAGGATGCTCTTCTTGATATTAAATATTGTGATGTCTTTCTTAACATTAACATTGAAGATATATTTGCCCGAGACAAAATTCCTATTGTCGTGGGAGGAACCAATTACTACATTGAGTCTCTGCTCTGGAAAGTTCTTGTCAATACTAAGGTATGTTTAGTTCCTTTATAAGTCACTGAGGAAATGGGTTCCTCTTTCTTGCCAGCTAATTTTAGTGGGAGGAAAGTTGACTCTTGTCTATTTCTTAAACTCAGCAACTATAATTTTCTTACTTAATATTCTGAAGCAAATGCCACCTCCATATGTGAAGTGTGCTCCTCCAGGGTGGCCTGAGGGCAGGGGCTGTGTGTGGGAAAAATGCTCCTCTGTGAATTAATTAGCATCTCCATGTAAGTTAACAGTATATCAGTCTGACTCAGCATTTCCTGGCTGTAACAATCTGTACATCAGTGAGATGCCCAACACTAACCTTTCGTATGGAGATGCTATTGCCTAGGGGGAGGCTTTGCAAACTGTATTGTGCAGGCAATCCTGATCCACTCTGGTCACTTACTGAGAAGACTGGGCTCCTAGATATGTTCATACAGATGTGTTAGCCCTGGTTCCTGTTTGTACTTCTGACAAGGAAGCAGGTACCTGAGTACTTTGCTCAGCAGTAAGTCCTTTGTGTGCTGTGGTCTCACAACACTACCACGGTGTATTGGAATTTTCTATGATCTGTCTTTCACTATATGGCAAGACCTTCTGATTTCTCTCTGTTCTGTATTTCTAACTCCCAGCAAAGCACCTGGCATATATACTGTTGGAATGCTTGTTGAACCGTTGAATTAAATTTACTTCTAAACCTTCTTTTAATAGCCCCAGGAGATGGGCACTGAGAAAGTGATTGACCGGAAAGTAGAGCTTGAAAAGGAGGATGGCCATGCACTCCACAAACGCCTAAGCCAAGTGGACCCAGAAATGGCTGCCAAGCTGCACCCGCATGACAAGCGCAAAGTAGCCAGGTAAGAAAGCCTGGGCCTACTGAGCCGAGTCCCTCTGGAGTTGGGGAGCCAGTTCTTCAGTGCACCTGGGTAATGAATGAGAGGGGTTTGGTAATAGCAGGAAGTGGAGATTGGTGTGTTCCCAGCCCACAGGTCATGAGGCCCTGAGGTACTGCCTCAGTCCAACTCCCTCAATAAATAATTGCATCCAACTTTGTTGTTAATTTAAAATGTATAATACAATAGAGTTTTCCCTAGGGCCTAGGTAATTGTGCTTCATTTTCTATTTGATCTTTGCTTGTATAACAGTTTTCATATAAATTTTTTCTGGCATGCAGTTGGTTTACATTGTGATTTGAGTTTCATAATTGATGGTGTAATTCTGAGTTCTGCCCCAGCAGCTTTCCCAGTGGGAGGTAGATTTTATGAACCTGTCTCGTAGACCTGCTCACCTTCACATATGGAGGTTTTCTTGAAGAGGTGGTGAATGAACTCATAAGGTCATGTTTTCTTAGTTTTTTTTTTTTTTTTAAGATTTTATTTATTTATTCATGAGAGACACAGAGACACAGGCAGAGAGAGAAGCAGGCTTCCTGCTGGGAGCCTGATGCAGGACTCAATCCCGGGACTCGGGGATTATGCCTTGAGCCAAAGGCAGACACTCAACCACTGAGCCAATCCCTCTTAGGTTGTTTTGAAATCGCAGTCTTGTGTGTTAGGTTTATTTTTCTGCAGTGTTGGGAGTGATACCATATCTGGCAAAGTAGAGGGTCTAATGAAGGATGGTTGATTATGCAGATTAAATATTATAGAACCACCTGGTATTGATAGGGATTGTGAAATAGTCCACCTAAATGAATGTTCTAGATCAGTGTTTCTTAATCCTTTTTCATTATCCCCCACCACCCTACATGTACCCAGTGCCTTTTTAGAAATTTTTTCCTAATTGTACTTCCCTCCCTCCCTGTTCTCCATGAAGTTTAGTACTAAAGAATAATATTTCTTTAGGTACGATTGCCCTCAGAGGGTCATACCACTGTAATATCTAAGTTTTTTTGCCCCTTTGAGAGTAGTATCACCCCGGGTGATAATGCATGTTCTAGATAAATGAAGTTTATACTTTCAGTATCTAAACATTTATTTTAAAACATTTTAATAGAGATCTTTAAAAAATTTTTAGAAAACAGAAACTTGATGAACATTCATTTTTATATTGTTTTATGATGTGATTCTAGAGCTTGGTCTTTATTATCCTCTCCTTTTATTAATGAGTTCTTTTTTTATCACCTCTCCTCATTTTGCTACTTCTAAACTAGTAATGAGCCAAGAATTGTTTCCTAGTAAGAGTCAGTAGGTTCTTTTTTTTTTTTAAGATTCTATTTATTCATGAGAGACACAGAGGCAGAGGGAGAAGCAGACTCAATGCAAGGAGCCCAATGTGGGACTTGATCCTGGGATCCAGTATCTGGATCACGCCCTCAACCAAAGGCATATGATCAACCGCTGAGCCACCCAGGAACCCCAAGTCAATAGGTTCTAAGCAAGAGCTCTAGTCTCTTCTTTAGAGAGGACTGGAGGACTTTGTTCATCTCTCTTTTAGTTTGAGACTATATCCTAACCTCCAGATAAATGAGATTATCTATTACAATTTTTCCTCACAGGTCCTCTTTGAGTGAGCATTGGTACAGAAACATAGGGGGTCTCTACTCTTGTGTTAGGGATTCAGGAAGTAGAATTGGGTCAGGGAGGGAAAGATCACTTTCAAGCTGATAAGTTGCCAACACTCAGAGTGGTGTAGTGTAGGTATGAGAGTTATATTACCTGCATAATCTAATAGAAGCAGACAGAGTGGATGGTGGCTGAAGAATAAGTATCTGAGTTCTTTCTTCAGTGGTCTTTGTGCTAGTAGAGTACCAAATCAGTCAGAAGTGCTCTTCATTAATTCTAGACCTATGTTAAAAAAAAAAAAAAGGTTGATGAGCTGGATATACAACATACTTTTGTACTGTGGGAAAGGCGTTCCAGCAAGACTGGACTTGCTGGCTTGTAACAGTCTCCCAAATAAGCTCTTTTACTGCTTACCTGAAGGTGAGTGTGTCCCATTCTATTTGTGTAGAAGAAGCCTGTTGTTTCTGAAAAATTAATATATGTTTACAAGAATAGTATTAGTCTTACTTTATCTAAAATTTTCTTTGGAACTGTTTTCTGGGTAGCTATAGGATTGGAGTGACTCCAGGCCTTCATGGCTTTGGGGGCTTATCAGTGAAAATGAGAAAGAGGTGTTTGTAATAAATAACCTTTCTCCTTGTCTCATTTGAGAATGAATATTTTCTAATGGTTTTTATGGGTATTCCCCCCCCCCCCCCCCCCCCCCCGCTGTCCCCTTAAATGGCTTAGGAGCTTGCAGGTGTTTGAAGAAACAGGAATCTCTCATAGTGAATTTCTTCATCGTCAACATGCGGAGGAAGGTGGTGGTCCCCTCGGAGGCCCTCTGAAGTTCCCTAATCTTTGCATCCTCTGGCTTCATGCTGACCAGACAGGTAAAAGCCCTTTGATGTGTTAGAGTCCATCTGAGATAGAGCTTGTTATAATATGTGATTATATGTATATATACACGCATAAGATGCCCAGAACCACAAGTGGCTCGTAATAAGCACTAAACAAGTGTTAGCTATTAATTTTATAATTATTGTTCTTCATTAACTTAGTAAGGCACAGTGCCCTTCCCCTAGGTATCTGTCTGGAAAGGGAAGAAGGGTAGCCCTGGCACTAGGATAAGATACCAAGGGTGGGATAACATGAAATGGGTAGGGTGGGTAAGAGACTGCCATCCAGGGAAGGTATGAAGAGAAAGAGAAAGAAGGCTTTGTGAAAGGAGGTCTGCCTCCCTGGATTGATGAGATGGAGGTTGCATCACTGATTATTCTAGAAGCAGCAGGCTTCAGAAATGGATATGATGGTTAATTAGCTAGCCAGATGATATTTTTTGGGTTTTTTTTGTAAAGTATGGTAATGCCCGGTGATAGTACTAACTTCTTCATCCAGCTAACATTTAGTAAGCATCTCTAATAAAGTGCTAGATATGCTGCATGGTCCTTGGATTTCAGAGATGAATATGAGACAGTGCCTGGTTTTTAGGAGCTCCCAGTCTAGTGGGGCAGCAAAGATAGGTACTACTTTGTGATAAATTCTGGGCCAAAAAGTGCTGTAAGGCCACAGAGAAAGGATGATGAACATTCTCTTGAGGGCAATCAGAGACCCACTTAAGACAAATTAGTTAACCTTCCTGTGCCCCAATTTTCTCTTCTGTAAAATGGAATTAATGATAGTAATAGTAATATATATATGGATTGAGGATTAGATGAATTAGAACATGCAAAGTGCTCAGTTGTGCATAACATGTGGTGAGTCCTTAATAAATACAAACTTTCTAGGAAGATAGGAAAAAAGGTTACTGTTACTGCAGGCAGAGAAGTAGCAATGGCAGATAATGTAGAATATGGTTGAAATGGTGAATATTTACTGTTAAATTAATCTCAGGTACAAGTTTATAGAAAAAGTTAATTTTTTAAATGAAATTTTTTTAAATGAAATTTCTGTAAATAAAAACATGTATTGCAATTTAGCATAAAATAATGGAATCTGATTCATAATAAAGCTGACCACTACCTTTGATCATAGTAAAGTTTTTGACCACCACATCTGAATGATTATGACCCCTGACTCTGCTTTGCTCCTTTGTTTGGCTCAGTAGTTCAAGAGGTACCCAGGTATTAAAGTTTCTTATTCCTGTCCAGGGTGTCATCTGACAGTTCTTAAATGTAAAAGAACACAAAGTTAAAGTAACAAATATGATGGGAAAAAATAAAGGTAAAGCAGGGGTCTCAGCTGCCTCTAAAGTAAATAATGAATATACCTTCCATAATAAAATATTTGTCCTTCTTAGTTGCTATAATTGTATGCTTTCTCTTTATGTAATAAGACATGTGCTTCATTTTGGCTGTTTTGTATTGAAGTTTGGTCTTAAGTATGACAAATATAATATGAATTATTCTATAATCCTTGGACTTTAAATGCCTTCTTCCATTTGAATAAATGCTCCTCTTTGTGGCAGCCTGTCCATTCACTCACTGTGTAAGTGTCTAGTGGGCACCTATGACAGACTAGATGGTTGATGGGCTAATGTGATTGAAGTTCTAGATGAGCGCTTGGATAAGAGGGTGGATGACATGCTAGCTGCTGGGCTCTTGGATGAACTAAGAGATTTTCACCGACGCTATAATCAGAAGAAAGTTGCAGAAAATAGGTGAGGATTTGGCCGTTTCTTCAACCTACTCTCCCTCGCTTGCATATGGCCCAAAGGCCATAAATAGAGTACTGGCTTTGGACCTACTTGTTTATTAGCCTTTGTCCTTGGCGTTGGCAAGGCTTGTTGCAAGGAGCTCTGGTGTACTTGTTACAGTTGCACTTTTCTAATCTGTCAGACATTCCCAGGAGTTCATTTTCAAGGGAACTAACCAGGGAACTGTTGGGGTGGGGGGTGGAGGAAAAATTTAGAGAGACAGTAGTTGCTCAGGATCTCAATTTCTCATCTATGAGATGAAATGGCTTAGCTAGATCCTCTCTAAGGCCCCTGCTAGCTCTCAGATGCAGTGGCTCATCACTGATGCTCTCCTATTCCCAGCCAGGACTATCAACATGGTATCTTCCAATCCATTGGCTTCAAGGAATTTCACGAGTACCTGGTCACTGAGGGAAAATGCACACCAGAGACTAGTAACCAGCTCCTAAAGAAAGGTGTGAATTCCTCCATCTAACCTAGACTTGGACATCCTTGGGTGGCAGAGTACCTACTGGTATGATCTGAGAAAGAGCTGAGGCCAAAGAGTCCCAAGTGGCCTTCAGCTCAGAATTGAGATTTTTGTCTACCAAGTGTATTCCAGGGTGCTGCTATGGCTGATTTTCTCTTTTCCTGGGCTGGGAGGGCTTGCCTTTTGCCTGCGTCAGAACTTAGAGGTTACTAGATCTACTTTGTCTTTCAGGTATCGAGTCTTTGAAACAAGTGACTAAGAGATATGCCCGGAAGCAAAACCGATGGGTTAAAAACCGGTTTTTGAGCAGTAAGTCTCATGTTTTTCCTTACCCCTGGGTTTGTTTCCAGTAGAGTATAGATTGTCCTCAACTCACCGCGAAAAGGAACTTTAGTTTCCGGACCTGTCCTGAGCTTGGGGACCTGATCTGGGAGAGGGTCTACTGCATAAATGACCATGCTTTTTTGTAATGTGTCAGAAAACAAATGAAATCTTTCCAATGAGAAGTTGAACACATGGGTGTTGGCTACAAACACATAAGAACATAACAGCAACATTGTCGTAGGGTCGGTGTTCAAGGTTGATTTTAGCTTCAAATTTTGTACCTTGAGTGCAGTCAGATTTCTGTAGGTAGGCTTTCCTAATTAAAGTGGTTCTGGGGTACCTGACTGGCTCAGTTGGAAGAGCATGTGACTCCTGATCTCAGTGTTGTGAGTTTGGGCCCCATGTTGGGTGTAGAGATTTTTAACAACAAAAGAAAGCTTAAAGAAAGAAAATCATTCTTAGGATACATGAGCAGTATAAAAAGCCAAACCTTCACCAGTTCTCTCAGTGTTGCCTTCACATTTAGGTATGTGGTGCCTCAGAGTTGCTGCAGGTTTGCCTTCAATTGAACAGCACTTTTAAGCAACAGGGAAGGAAATTCTCCTTCACTTGACCCTGTTCTGTGTCCTTGACAGTAAATTTGGTGCCATACATATATTACTAAGCCTGTGAGATAGGTGCTATTCTTTCATTTTTGCAGATAAGGCAATGGAGGCTTCAAGACGTTAAAAATCTTGCCAAATATCTGCCAGCTGAATAAGCAGTATTGAAAGCAGGCCTGTCCCCCTACCCACTCCCCCCATCCCCCACAATGTATTCTATAGCATGCTTCTTGTTTCCTGTAGCTATAATTTCAGCTTGACAGCATTGGTATTGGGCCTTGGGTAAGAAATTTTCTGGTTATGAGCTAAAAGGAGATTAACTTAAAGGAGATTAAATGAAACACCAACTTTATTTTATAGGCACTCTTTAAATATGTTTCTGAATCTTCCCGTTTGCCTTTTGCTGTTAGACTTCTGCTTTCAGTTATAGATCAGGACAGCTGAGGCCTCCACTGTCTGCTCTTCAGGGTCTCTGAACAGAAACACCTCAATCCATGTTGTGACCACGGATTGTTGCATTTCTCTCTCCTGCTCTCACTCTCTGCCAGACCTCTCCAGGGTAGTTCTGGCACCAAGAGGCTCTTTATACTTCTTTCTACTCACCCTGCTTTCTCTACATGTCCTGTCAGATAGGAGAATTCTCTACAGTCAAAATTGAATTGCATCAACTGAAATTCAGTATAGATTTCTAATGCAGCTTCTCTTCTCTCCAGGGCTAACAATTAGTCTGCAACAAAAGCTGTTTTTTATAATGATTTGAAACTTCCTCCTGTGGTAAAGCCACAATAACTCCCCCATCTCTGAGTCAGGAGGGATTGATGGCACAGTGCATCATCTGCCCATTCCTCATTCATGTGTATGCCGGCACAGTCCTGGTGCTAGAGTGAAAGGCACAGCTGCCTCGTAAACCAGGAGCCGTGTGTGATTGGCCAGGGCTAGTCTGCTGGGACATGGTTCTGGCAAGAAGCCAGGGGGACTTCCCCGCCCCAACTTGGCCTTGGACCCAAGCCAGAAATAGCAGCTGGGAGCCGAGAACTTGTTGAAAGGTGCTTAGACAGGGCACAGAAGCTCAACAAAGGACTCAGAGGGGAAAGGAAAATATAGAGTGGCCTGGAAACAGGTGCAGAGCTTAGCCAAGGCCAGGTGTGCTGTGGATGCTGCCTGCACCCTCCCGGTCTCACCTTTCCGTGTGGTGGCAGGTGCGGCCCAGTCCATTTTATGAAAAATCTTACTTGTGGTTGGCACAATCAAAAGGCCAGCACCTGCCAGCCGTTGGCATCCTAAGGACTTTGATGTTTTTGTCCATGGGGAGATGCTTTTTGCCTTTAGGCAACTGACTTGACCTAGCTGTGGAAGGCAATTTAGTGTGTCCATAGACAGGGGAGGCTACCAACAGAGACCAAACAGGGTTGGCTCCACGGGACAGAATGCCTGTAGCTGTACTCTAGGCTGTCTCTAGTTGTCTCTCCACTCAGAAGTATTTACCAAAAGATGTTTCTTGAATACTCGTCTAGATCTTGTTCCTGGGATCCCTGGGTGGCGCAGCGGTTTGGTGCCTGCCTTTGGCCCAGGGCACGATTCTGGAGACCCCGGATCGAGTCCCACGTCGGGCTCCCGGTGCATGGAGCCTGCTTCTCCCTCTGCCTATGTCTCTGCCTCTTTCTCTCTCTCTGTGTGTCATAAAAAATAAAAAAAAAAAAAAAAAAATTAGATCTTGTTCCTAAAAGAAGGGGCTCAACTAGTTTAATTTCATGGCTTCTTTCTAAAAGTTCTCAGATTTAGTGGCTCATTGACTGATACTCTTCTGTTCCTAGTCCCTGATCATGGGTATGGTATCAACAAGTTTCATGAGGGCCGTGCTGCTGAAGGGATATATACAAACCTGAGACTAGTGTCTGCTCCTAAAGAAAGCTGCGAACTCTCTTGCCAGAAGAGCAGTATCACTGTTAAGATCATAGGCAACTTAGAATAGGCATTTACTTCGAGCTGTTAGTTTATTTACTCCTATGGTATGCTATCTTCATATGGTTGCGTACGCAGCAGTCACTAGAGCTGTTACTCTGTTCTGTTTTTTTTTTTTTTTTTTTTTTTTTGACCGATCTGGAAGATCCTGTCTCTGGAAGTCTCTGGATTATACAGCTAGACTTGTTGGCTACAGATCAGTGAACCTTCTAGGTCATTCTTGGATTGTATGTAGTTGTTTGGTTCATGTTTCTGGTTAGAATGAATGGCATGATCAGAATGTTTATTCTTTGGCCCCATATATTTCCTTTGAGGATTTTGGAGTCCTGGGAGCAGAATGGATTGGGTCTTTGAGGCTGACCTCTCACAACTTCTCTTTGTCATCATTAGGACCTGGTCCCAGAGTCCCCCCAGTATATGGCTTAGAAGTGTCTGATGTCTCGAAGTGGGAAGAGTGTGTTCTTGAACCTGCTCTTGAAATCGTGCAAAGTTTCATCCAGGTGATTATTAATCACAGTGCTGTGTGTTGTCTGGCTTTCAGAGAGTTTTCCTTAGCTGGCACCTTTGTTGGCATGTCAGGGAACCAAGCTTTCTTTTCCATGGAATAGAGCAGAAGAGCTGGCTGCCCTTAGATCCCTGGAGGCTGTGTTTCTGCTTTCACATTTAGAAAGGTTGTTGCTAAAATCTGTCCGTAGTCCACCAGAACAGGGATGAGAAAAAGGAATCTTGGGAAAAATCCCACTCCCCTTAATATCAGAGAATGAGATCCAAATCTCTTTTGAGTTGATTGCTTCTCTCCCCTCCCCCTCCTTGTTCTTTCAGGGCCACCAGCCTGCAGCTGCTCCAGTAAAGATGCCATGTAATGAGACAGAGAACAGGAGAAGTCATCACATGTGTGACCTCTGTGATCGAATCATCATTGGGGACCGTGAATGGGCAGGTAGGATCTGGGGAGGGGCACGGAGACATTTGTGAGGGTGACTCACAGTGACTTTGTGAAATTTAAGGTCTTCGGTAGGTTAAATGCTGGAGTCTGCTTACTTGTAAAGGGATGGCCAGATTCCTCCAAGAGCCCCTAAGTACTCACATTTCATGGCAACTTTCCCATTTTGAAGAGTTATCTTTATATTCTGAATTTCAAAGGAAGATCATCTGCCCTCCAATTTCAGCTAGAGTAGATATTTTATACTGACAGGTCTGTAGTTAAGTTTCCAGAGCCCCTTTGACTTTCCTGATCCTACCTTATAGGAGTTTCTTGGCCCCTCATGTTTAGAACTCAGTGCGGGTGAGGTGGGATTGTAAGGGAAACTAGCCAACTCACCCAAGAGACCAGAGAAGCAGAAACAGCTGAGAGGGGAGGAGGAAGTGCAATTACTCCTCCTGAGTACATTCTTTGAAAGTGGTCTCTGGTAATTTTTAATGTAATATATTGAAATGGTGGTGATTACTAAAGTTGTGATAAAAAGCATTAAGAGAACCTGTGAGAGCAGGAGCATCTGGGTGGCTCAGTCGGTTAAGCATCCGACTCTTGGTTTCAGTTCAGGTTATGATCTCAGGGTCTTGGGATCCAGCAAGCAAAACCCCACCCCACCTCCACCCCCTCGTATTGAGCTCAGCACTCAGAGGGAAGTCTGCTTGGGAATTCTCTCCCTCTGCATGCCCTACCCCCCACATACGTACACACACTCCCTCTTTCAAATAAATAAATAAATCTTTATTTTTTTATTTTTAAAGATTTTATTTATTTATTCATGAGTATACACAGAGAGGAGAGAGAGAGAGGCAGAGACACAGGCAGAGGGAGGAGCAGGCTTCACGCAGGGAGCCCGACGTGGGACTCGATCCAGGGTCTCCAGGATCACATCCCGGGGCTGCAGGCGGCGCTAAACCGCTGAGCCACCGGGGCTGCCCATAAATAAATCTTTAAAAAGAGAGAGAGAAGCTGTGAAAGCAAGATTTATATAGAGAAAGTGGTCAGAGGGTGATGTCTTTAAAGGTACTCCTGACCAACCAGCATGGGCACTGACCTAAGGCTCTCTCTGTCTTTTAGAGCCTGGGTCTGCTCTGCCATAGTCACACTGCACTCCCCTGTCAGCTTCTTTTTTCTTCCTTCTTTCTTTCTTTCTTTCTTTCTTTCTTTCTTTCTTTCTTTCTTTCTTTCTTTCTTTCTTTCTTTTTTTTTTTTTTAAGATTTTGTTTATTTATCCATGAGAGACACACACAGAGAGAGAGGCACAGGCAGAGGGAGAAGCAGGCTCCATGCAGGGAGCCCGATGCGGGACTCGATCCTGGACCACTCTAGGACCACACCCTGGGCCGAAGGCAGGCGCCAAACTGCTGAGGCACCCAGGGATCCCCCTGTCATATTCTTGTAGTCCTCTGGTCAAAGCCCAGAAAGGGTCAGGGCCTCCAAGTCTTGAGTTTACACTGTATTTGGAGACTTCTTAAAAGGTCACTCCTTTTGAGCACAGTAGGGCTTGTAAGATACCCAGTAGCTGGAATCGTTCTGTTTAGAGTACTGCCTTTCATGAGATTCTCCTAGAAATAGAATTTTCTCCCCATACCAACCAATAGAATGATTAGTTCTATTAACTGGTAACACTGGCAAAATGAACTCCATTGTCAGAGACTGGGAATGGCTGTGATTTGCCTTAACGGCAGAAGAAGCCTCGATTGTCACTGGTTTATAATGATGAAAGGGGAAGAGAAAGAGAGTGTCTGATTGTTTTTTCTAAAGGAAACTTAGTGGTTCGATTTGTCGAATGTCCTTCAGGGATAGCCTTAAAGAAACAACATTTGTGAGCCTTTGTGAGCTTAGCTTGTGTGAGCCCTTCTATAGTGCCATCTGTCAGGTCCCTGCTCCCATCTCCTGCTGCCGTGGAGAGCCAGGCCAGAAGCCCCCCTTTTTTTTTTGCCTTAGGCTCTAGCTGGAGAATAAAGCTGACTTTTTCCTCCCCAAGTAAACTTTTCTTCTAACTTCTTCCTTTTTAAAAAATTCTTTTTGCTGTGAAACCCTTAAAATGATGTTTTTTTTTAAAATATATATCAAAAATCATTTAATCTAGTCATCTCTCTCTTTAGAGGCTTCCAAAGAAAATTTCCTTGAAAAAGAATAAGTAAAAAGAGGCTAATATGAGTTGGTCAGAGGGTGGGAACACTCTTTGGGGTGAGAGGTCAGAAATCGTTATTAGGCAACAGTGGCCTTTCAGCTTTACTGATTCTGTGGACCCTCAAAAAGGATCAACAGAGAAGAATGCTTCCTGTTATCTGCCTGGAGCATTGTGTGCTTGAAGAATGTGAACCTTGTGGGTTAGTCATTCAAATTGCTTATCTAGCCTAGGCATAGGGGATGTTGGATCAGGAGGAGCCACCTGTGTGAGCGGGGAAGAAGAGGAAAGGACAGCTCTGGGTTTGATGTGGGACAGAGCATCTGTCTGGCAATATAGACAAGGATTTGGGTTTGTAACTTTTTAGCTGAGTGAGTTGAAAGGTAATCTCTCTGAAACAGCTCTGTTCTGTTACAAAAATGGAGTCTGGAGCTCTGATTCTGGAAAATTTGGTCTCTTTTGAGCTATAGATGAGCCAAAGTACTTACCTACTGTGTGTACTTGGACAGAATCTAAGTCCTCAGTGAACTTCAGTTTCCTTCGGTATAAAATGAGCTGAATAATACTGTCCTGCAAGATTGCTGTGAGGATTAGTGATGTAAAGCACCCAGCAGGGTACACTTAATGCATGGTAGCTTGCTGGCCATGTAACTTATCCTTCTTTTAAAAAATGCTAAGCAGCTATACCAGTACATGTGTTGATCCTGTTATTATTTTTTTAAAAAAGGATTATATAGTTAATTTTTATGCTTCTAGGATTGATTCTAGAAAGTTCTAATGAGTTGTTTTTGTTTTGTTTTGTCTTAGCACACATAAAATCCAAATCCCACTTGCACCGACTAAAGAAGAGAAGAAGATTGGACTCGGATGCTGTCACTACCATAGAAAGTCCGAGTATTTCTTCAGACCGTGAGAAAGAGCTTAAAGAGAAAGGATCCCTAGGGCAGAATGAGAAAGAGCTGGAATCTAGTGTTTAAAGAGACATGTCCAGTAGCCTTTGCACAGGTAGAGACCCAGTTTAGGAGGGAGGGTTATGTCTGTGTCCCTGTCTGGACTGGGGAGTGCTCTGCAGAAAGCGCCCACCATTTTCTGCCTTCAGTGGTGTAGTTTTAATGTTCTCTGTCATGGAAACAGCAGGGCTTGTTAGCTCCTTGTTTGGCTGATGTGCCTGTTAATGATGATTTGGGGAAGGAATTTTTTTTTCTTTTAACAAAGTTCTATTTTTGAAAGAAGCACAGATTGTGCTTTTTAATACTTGTGAAGATCTTTTTGGTAATGAATACCTGAATTCCCTATAGCCTTTAAAAAAGAAGTTTTATATCCCTGACTCTGGCTAAAAATATCTCATTTCCAGATACTTTTATAGATGACTGAAGTATTATGGGCCACAAATTGGGAGTTCTGGATTTGGGTGAATGGCAGGAAAGGACCAGCCCCAGTGAGAAGATTAAGTGAACTCAACCACCAATTCTTGGAATTCCACTGAGAAGGAGAGAAGAACGTGGTCATGACATGGCACTTGAAAACTAAAGACTTTGAGGGATCCCTGGGTGGCGCAGCGGTTTGGCGCCTGCCTTTGGCCCAGGGCGCGATCCTGGAGACCCGGGATCGAATCCCACGTCAGGCTCCCGGTGCATGGAGCCTGCTTCTCCCTCTGCCTATGTCTCTGCCCCCCCCCCTCTGTGACTATCATAAAAAAAAGAAAAAGAAAACTAAAGACTTTGACATTTTGTTGAGTTCTTCCTGTGTGATAATTACTCTCACTGCTGTCTTTACATTAAGTTAGGAGCCTATATTTTTATTGAAAGTTAAATTTAAAAAAAAAGTTTCCAAGAGTCTCTTTATTTTTTTAATTTTTTATTTTATTTTATTTTTTAAGATTTTTTTGAGAGACAGAGACACAGACAGATGGAGAAGCAGGCTCTGTGCAGGGAGCCTGATGTGGGACTCGATCCCGGGTCTCCAGGATCAGGCCCTAGGCCAAAAGCGGCGCTAAACCGCTAGGCCACCAGGGCTGCCCCTAAGAGTCTCTTTAGTCCTTAAAACAATGTATATTCCGGGATCCCTGGGTGGCGCAGCGGTTTGGCGCCTGCCTTTGGCCCGGGGCGCGATCCTGGAGACCCGGGATCGAGTCCCATGTCGGGCTCCTTGCATGGAGCCTGCTTCTCCCTCTGCCTGTGTCTCTGCCTCCCTCTCTCTCTGTGTGTAACTATCATGAATAAATAAATAAAATCTTTAAAAAAAAAAAACAATGTATATTCCATGTCTAGTTTATACACTGTAGGCTCTGTTGTCAACATACAGCCTTGGAGCACTTGGGTGGCTCATTCGTTTAAGCATCCTACTCTTGATCTCAGCTTAGGTCTTTTTTTTTTTTTTTTAAAGATTTTATTTATTTATTTATGAGAGACAGTGAGAGAGAGTGGCAGAGACACAGACAGCCTGATGTGGGACTTGATCCCGGGACTCCAGGATCACACCCTGGGCCAAAGGCAGGCACTAAACCACTGAACCACCCAGGGATCCCCTCAGCTTAGGTCTTAATCTTAGGGTCATGAGTTCAAGCTGTGCATTGGGCTCCATGCTGGGTGTGGAGCCTACTTAAAACACACACACACACACACACACACAAAACAAAAACATCATAGCTTTTTCTGAAACTTAACATTCTTCATATGATCATGCTGTCCGTTCATTATTCAGAAAATGTTTACTAAGCACTTCTTATATTCCTGGAAGACATAGGTTATTGGAGATGTGTGATTTCCAGTAATATTGAGTATATGTATGTATGCATTTAGCATAAAATTAAGTATTTTTATGTTTACAGTTCAGCATCAATTACATCCATAGTGCTTTGTGACCATCACTTCTATTTCCAACACTTTTTCATCACTCCAAACACGGTATATCCATTAAGCCATAACCCCACTCAAGTAGTATTATATTTGTTCAGAATCTACTAGGTAAGAGGCTAGAGGGAGTACAGAGATAAAATAAGATGCTGTTTTTGTTTTCAGGGAGCTTTGTTCATACTCTACAAATAGCCAGTCTAGGGAAGAATATCTGAAGGTCATAAGAGGTGGGTAGCATAGTACTTTAGAGGGGAGGGCAGGGGAGGGAGAGGATCGTGGAAGAAGGAGCATTTCTCCTGGACCTTTAAATATTTTATTTATTCATGAGAGACTCAGAGAGAAAGGCAGGGACATAGGCAGAGGGAGAAGCAGGCTCCCTGCAGTAAGCCCCATGTGAGACTCGATCCCAGGACCCCGGGATCACGACCTGAGCCACCAGGCGCCCCCTCTCCTGGACCTTTAAAAGCAATTCTTGGTTAACTCTGTGTAGGAGGAGAGGGTAAAGAACTATCAAACTTGGTTGTCCTTTTTTAAACAGTGTGAATTCCATAGCTTTACCTTTTTTTTTCTTCAAACATTTTTTTAAAGTTTAATTTAAAAAAAGTTTAATTTTTTTCCACTAGTTTACATAGTTCAAAAATCAAAATAATACAAAAAGACATTCACTGAGGGGCATCTAGGTGGCTGTTTCGCTCTCAAAAATCTTTCTTTCTTCCAATGATTTTATTTATTTGAGAGAGATCATGAGTAGGAGACGGGGGCAGAGGCAGAGGGTGAAGCACACTCCCCACCCAGCAAGGAGGCTGGCACGGGCTCCATCCCAGGACCCTAAGATCATGACCTGAGTGGAGGGCCAAAGCCCAATCAACTGAGCCACCCAGGCACCTCTAAATAAAATATTTTTAAAAAAATTTTATTTATTTATGATAGGCACACAGTGAGAGAGAGAGAGGCAGAGACACAGGCAGAGGGAGAAGCAGGCTCCATGCACCGGGAGCCCGATGTGGGATTCGATCCCGGGTCTCCAGGATCGCGCCCTGGGCCAAAGGCAGGCGCCAAACCGCTGCGCCACCCAGGGATCCCTAAATAAAATATTTTTTAAAAAGGGCAGCCCGGGTGACTCAGCAGTTTAGCACCGACTTCAGCCCAGGGCCTGGAGACCTAGGATCAAGCCCCATGTCAGGCTCCCTGCATGGAGCCTGCTTCTCCCTCTACTTGTGTCTTTGCCTCTCTTTCTGTTTGTGTGTCTCTCATGAATGAATAAATCTTGGGAAAAAAAAAAAAAGATGTTCATTGAGAAATCTCACTCCCATCCCTATCCCCTCCTCTCGAAATAATTATTTACTAGTTTTTTAGAACTCTCTAATTGTTTTTAATGCAAAAATGAACAAATTTTCCATTACCCAAAATATAGCATTTAGCACATACAGTCTTTAATATGTCCCCTTACCTTGTGACAGGTAAACCTGGTTAGCAATATCTGGATGTGCATGATTTCTCCTGCCACGTCTGTCAGGTCTCTTGTTTTGGGCCTTAACCATCTACCCTAGACTTCCCCAGTTAACCTCAACAGGGTTCATTTACCTTGTATACTGAACTTCATTCAGATGCCAGGGTTGAGGCCAAAACCAGTCTCTGACAAATTCAGCCAGCAGATACCTTAGAACTTACCATGTTCTTGGTGCATTGCTAGACTCAGCAGATACAGTGGTGATCCAGAAAGTTCACACTGATTAAGTAATTACAGAATTTAAAAAAAATAATTACAGAATTATAGCTGTGATAATGGCTGCAAATAAAGGACATTGCTGTAAGAGCAAGTAACCCGAGGACCTGCCCCCCATGTTGGTGTGTGGGAGTGTGTGCATGAGTTGGGGGAGGGCATACAAGCCATGGCACAGCATGATGCCAGGACGGGAGTTAGGAGCCAAATCTGCAGATATGGGACCACATGACCTGGAAAACTCGGTTTCTCAATATGACTGCAGTGGCTTCTCCTCCCTCCTTCCCCACTCGTATGTCCTGGACCCCTTGAGTTTTATTGACCTTTACCCATTTTTAACGACTTTGGATTTCAAGAATAAATTTTTATAAAGTCAAGTCTCTATCCACCCCAAGTTGTTCCTAATATTAAACATAACCCAGATTTCCCAATCAGGGTTTGTTTGTTTGTTTATTATTATTATTAACTACTTCAGGAGCTAACAGAGCAGAAAGTCACATCTTCCCACTGGAAGTGGGGATTAATACTTAACTATTAGTCAAACAAGCGCTTTGTACTGTTCTTTCCCTTCCCACATACTCCTGGGAGGGAGATGCTGTTCCTCTTCCCGCTAACCGGGGCGGGGGGGGGGGGGGGCTCCACACAGGACCACAGCTAGTGAGCAGCCGCCTGGAGTTGAGGCACTATGAAGCTGGCTGTAATTTTAGGAGGAGCCTTAGTCTCTGAAACGCTCTTCACTCCAGCCACTAAATATATTTTAAAGCAATAAAGTTTTGGTGGAGAAGCAGGAAAAACTAGTTTTAATAATCCTACCTCAAAAAGCCTTTAATCCTTTCATCTGAAATACCTGGAGCAGCACCTTCTCTTTGAACCCACTGCTATCTCTATGGCAATTGGAAATCAGGAATTTCCTGAAAGAGACAAGCCAAGCGCCTAATATTCATGAAGTACCTACGAAGTATAAGGCCCTGTGGTTGTGCCCACTGCCCCTATTCTTAGAAACTATAAGTTCAGCAAGATGGAATTCCTTCACTGTCAGCAGAGAGCCTAGGGAAGAGGCTCACCAGAAATCAGCTTGGTACCCCGGTCTGTGGCATTGCACTGAGGTAGATTTCCCTTCTCTGCCTGCTGCCTGCTGAATGACCTTGCTCTTGAGTGTAAGTTCTTCCCAGTAATTGTCATAATGTAGACCTGGAAGGATCCTCAGCACCTTTTTGTGCAGTTGGGGAAATTGAGACCCAAAACATGGCTGTTCCATAACCATAGAGCAAGTTGTGGCGAAGTCAGGACAAATCTCAGCTTCCCTCTGTTAACTACTGCTAAATACCTCATTCCAAATCTCATTTGAGAACTGGGAAGGACCATGGAGACCAGCTCTGGGCTATTTGTTCAGCCTGGAGGGAGGATGAGGAGTGCCGTTTTGTACCATCTGGCCTCAGCTAATCCCCAGATAAGCAGAGCCCTTTGGTCCAGGTGCTCAGAGTCTCCAGGCCACAGCAGTGCTATCTAAATGGCTCTGGTAATTAATTCCAACACTCAGTAAGCTATTTAGGTCCGTCTACCTCTGTCAGTAAAAAATTTTTGCCCCAGTTTTATTGAGATAAAGTTGACATATAAAGTAAAAATCCTGACTAGGCTTTACACTTCTTGTAGCTCAGGCAATGCTGTTTTCAAGAGGGTAGGAAATACTTTGAAAATCAGAGAGCTGGATTCTTCGTCTTTAAAATATTTTGCTTGGGGCATCTGGGTGGCTCAGTCGGTTACATGTCTGCCTTAGGCTCAGGGATTGAGCCCTAAATTGGGCTCCCTGCTCAGTGGGGAGTCTACTTGTCCCTCTCCCACTGCTATGCTCCCCCTACCCCCTGCCCATACCCTCACTCTCTTTTTTTTTTCGCTCTCTCTCTTGCTCTCTCAAATAAATAAAATATTCTTAAAAGCCCACAAAATATATTGCTTGATTTTTAGAGCTAAGTAGGGAAACAGTTCATTTATAGTCTAGGTCCATGGTTTGTTCCTTTGTAACTGTCAGTAACTGTATTCTTAGCCTCAGTTCCTACAAAGTGGTTTTTCTGTTTAAGACACTACATTAAAAACGACAGAAAACACTAGAAGGCAAGCTTGTAACCTGTCTATATATCCCCAACATCTAGAAAGTAAAATACTTGTTGAAATAATTACACAAAAGCATAGAAGCTAAGTGGGTCTCTACATAAAGATGTTTTAAAACGTCAAATAAGGGGCAGCCCGGGTGGCTCAGCAGTTCAGCGCCGCCCTCAGCCCAGGGCCTGATCCTGGAGACCCGGGATCGAGTCCCACATCGGGCTCCCTGCGAGGAGCCTGCTTCTCCTTCTGCCTGTGTCTCTCTGCCTCTCTTTCTCTCTGTGTCTCTCATGAATAAATAAATAAAATCTTTTTTAAAAAATCATTAAATAACCAGGATGATGAAATCTTGAGATAGTAGCCACAGGAAGGAATTTCATTATTTGATCATCACCTGCTTGGGCGGTTAGGGCCATTTTCTAAAAAGATAGCTAACTGGTCACTTGTCAAGCTATTCTGAATATGTACAAAGGAAGCTGCATGGTTGTATCAGTTAGGATAAAAGGCTAAGCTGCTATAACAAAGAGGCTCAACAATACAGTGGCTTAAGGGACAAAGAAGTTTGTTTCTTTCTCACATAGCAACTTTGAGGGGGAGCTAACATTTCTGAAGCCAGTGGTCCAGGTCTGCGGGACAGCTGTGCTCCAAGCAGCCACTCAGGGACACGGG